CTGTGGTAACACAATTACTATGTTATTATTGTTAATAATTATTAATAAGAGTACCTCACACGGAGATACCCATTAAAACTAATAATAATAATAATAATAATAATAATAATCATAATAATAATAATAATAATAATAATAATAATAATAATAATTATTATTATTATTATTATTATTATTATTATTATTATTATTATTAAAATAAAATTAATAATGCAGACAAGTTACCTGGAAGACAAATATACACAAATATACAAATATACACGTCGCATATACACAAATGTGCACACATACACACGCACACGCACACACACACACACACACACACACACACACACACACACACACACACACACACACACACACACACACACACACACACACACACACATTTAGGATTGAATAGAATATTCTGGCTGTGGTGGCTGCTTATTATGAGTATGATGCAGCATCTGAGTAATGGAGGACAGTTTATCTTAAGGACGAGGTACCAGGTGGTCAAGTTACATGAAGGACATGTTACCCGGAAGAAAGAAAATCTGGACGACAAGTTACCTGGAGGACTAATTAGTTGACAGACAACTTTTTTCTGATATCTCTGTGATCAGGCTGATTCTTTAATTGCCTGTTCGACCAGGCCTTTGCTGTTGGCGACCCGCTGGCCCACATGACCATCACAGCCTGGTTGATCTGGCACTTGAAGGAGGTACATAGGATATTCTGTACATACAGAGCTATCACATGTTATAATGAAATAGTACAAAGAGGATATATTAGAAACGAACAGAGTAGTACATGAGTTAAGAGGACAGCAGAGCCAGGATGCTGTCCTAAAAGACATGGGAGGAAGGAATGAAAAATCACAGTTCCGTTGCTCGAGAAATTCACCGAATGATCTTTTGGTCTTTTCTTTTCTCACACCAGGACGGACAGGAGCATCAAGATACGGTTCCTCTCCTAACTATGGGATTTTGGTGGACGGGCAGTAGACAGAAGAGACTGAAAGGAAAACAGGAAAAAGAAAGAGGAAGCGAGAGTTATGGGAAGGGTTGCAAGGGGATATAGAGGTATACAGATACAAAGGCGAACAGGGAAAAGATAGATGACATGAGAACCCCACGGCCCATGCCGGGACTGTCTGCTATGAGACTCAAGGTATACTGACCATGCTAATCCACCTTGTCAACTTGCCAGTTGGAAAACCATGGATCAAATGACTTCATGAGAAATACTACAGTGTGTATAGATATTAAATAAGAAAGGTAGAAGCAGAATTTGGCTTTACTGCTATTGCTGTCTCAGCCTTCATTACTACCTCTTTTTCAACCTATTATATGATTATGTCCTGTGAGGAACGTTGTTAACCCATCATGATGATGTAATTCCTGTATTAACAACAGAACTTTGATAAACACTGCCAACTACTGCAGCATAGTAAGTAGCTGAATAAGAAAGAGAAGTAGAGAGAGAGAGAGAGAGAGAGAGAGAGAGAGAGAGAGAGAGAGAAACAGGTAGAGGCATATATATATATATATATATATATATATATATATATATATATATAATATATATATATTGTGTGTGTGTGTGTGGTGTGTGTGTGTGTGTGTGTGTGTGTGTGTGTGTGTGTGTGTATACTGGCACCTCTGCCAGAGAGAGGCTGTGGGCATCCTGCTGTGTTTTTGGCACAATATCGTCCAATCAAGAACACCTACCAGGGTTATCGTCAACAGGCTGGTGTGTGAATATCTGCTGCTCGTGTTGGAAAGAGCCAGAAGACTCTGCATTTCGTCTCTTCCTTCAGAATCAAGAAAAGTGTTGTGTAGGTGAATTCAGTGAGGGAACATAACGGTCACCTATGGGTAGGTGAGGTCGGTGAGGGGAGGCCTCATCGAGGAAGAACCACGTTGTAAATCTTGCAAACAAGGCAGCCATGAAGCTTACAGCACTTCGCCGTATCTTGCATTTGCTTGACAGTAGGGGTTGCAAGATTCTGTACAAGGCACAAGTACGCTCACACCTTGAGCATGCTCCACTTTCTTGGTCTGCCTGTCCCCCCTCTCATCTGCGACTGCTTGACAGAGTAGAGAACAAAGCAAGACGTCTCATCTCTCGAATGGACCAATCCTGAATAGAACTGTAATTTCAGCAGAGCCTTCAACACAGAAGGGATGTGGGTGGCCTTACTGTTATGTACAAGCTCAATATTCTCAAAGTACCTCACTTGGATCCACTTCAAGGACAGCGTGAAGCAAGTTTCTGTACCACAAAACGGGCAAAAAGCAGCAACTTCACTCTGGTTGCACCCTACTCTAGAACATCATTTCATCTGAGATCATTTATCCCCAGGATGACTCGAGTGTGGAATACATTCGTACAGCATTATCATGACAACGAGATAAAGTCAGTTGATCAGATGAAAATGCTGGCCCATAGAAGGCTCCAACTTCATCCTGTTCCCTACTTTTATGTCTTATAACAATAAAAATGCTTTCAAATGAGCTGATGTAGGTAACAGCTCTTAGCTTGTCAATAAAGTGAGGAATCCTTAACCTGTATATAGCTTGTCAAAGCTAGGGATCCTTAACCTTGTAAAACCCTGTGTAAAAAAAAAGGAAGAGAGAGAGAGAGAGAGAGAGAGAGAGGAGAGAGAGAGAGAGAGAGAGAGAGAGAGAGAGAGAGAGAGAGACAGAGAGACAGAGAGAGAGAGAGAGAGAGAGAGAGAGAGAGAGAGAGAGAGAGAGAGAGAGAGAGAGAGAGAGAGAGAGAGAGAGAGAGAGAGAGAGAGAGAGAGAGAGAGAGAGAGAGAGAGAGAGAGTGGTGTGGTGGAGTGGTGACGTGTACTTAGCTCTGTGAAGACCTGTTTGTGTGCTCTCTGTGAATCTGAACCAGGATGCCCTCTCTTGAGCAACTTTACCAGCAGCTGAAAGAATAGCTTATGGTTGCTAAGCAGGAGATACGGCGATTAACGGAGGAGAACAAGAGGATTCGAAGTAATCCTTCTGTTGTGAGTCCCCAGGTTAAGAGGGGAACTTGGTCAGTGGCCGGGCAACATGGAACCAAGCTGAGGATCAAGAAGGCTGTTGGAGAGGCAGAAACAACGAGGACCCAGAAGACTACTGTGGAAACTTCCAACCCATTTTCGGTGCTACCTGACGAATGTGGGTGTTCTACTGGGAATGTCACAACGGGCACCAAAGAAGCATTGGCTGACGTGAGTGAGACATCCCTAGAAACCCCAAAGAAAACCATCGAGAACGTCTTGACGAATTCCACAAGTGGTGTAATGCTACCTGACGAATGTGAGTCGACTACTGGGAGCATCACGACGGACGACGCCAAGGAAGGTTAAAACATTGTTGTCGTTGGGGATAGCCAGATTAGATACATGGATAGGGCATTCTGCTTGAAGGACAGGAGTAGGAGGCAGAGAGTGTGTTTTCCTGGGGCTGGGATGAAGGATATTGTTAGCCGTCTGGATGACATCATGAGAGGCAATGGGAGCAATCCTATTATCTGTCTCAGTGCTGGAGGCAACGATGTTGGCAGACGTAGGAGTGAGGACCTGATTAGCAGGTATAAGTCAGCAATAGAGATAATTAGGAGGAAGGGTGGGAAACCTCTCATATGTGGCATTTTGCCAAGGAGAGGAGTTGGAAATGAATGGTTGGCCAGGGCAATTGGTATCAATTGTTGGCTGGACAAATACTGTAAGGAAAATGCAGTAACATTCATTGACAACTGGGACCTCTTCTATGGCAGAAATGACATGTATGCCAGGGATGGGGTTCACTTATCTAGGTTTGGGGTTGGAACACTGGCCAATGCAGTTGAGAGAGCAGTTAGGTCTTTAAACTAAAAATAGATGGTGGTATGGGTTTTCGTGGAAAATCAATGAATTTTGAGTGTAGCGATAGTGTGAGTTTTAAGGAAACCAGTTATAGGCAGAATGAGGAAGAGTTATTGGTGAACATAGGAAAGCCAATGGCATCAGGTGATACGGAGAGCAACAGGCATAGTGGAGGAACAGAAATCAGGAAGAAAAAAGAGAAGGGAGGGTCCTTGAATATATATTACACAAATAGTCGTAGTGCTAGGAATAAGATGGACGAGTTGAGACTAGTTGCTAGTGCAGGTAACAGTGATGTATTTGCCTTAACTGAGATGTGGTTCAATACAAAAAATCGGGACATGCCTGCTGAATGTCACATAGAGGGTTTTAAATTGTTCCAAGTGGACAGAAGTATCGGAAAGGGGGGTGGGGTGGCACTGTATGCCCGAGATCGCTTGAACTGTTGCATAAAAACAGGTATAAAGTCTGAAACCCATACTGAGTCTGTTTGGATAGAATTTTCAGAGGGACATGAAAAATTGATTTTAGGTGTGATATACCGTCCCCAAGCTTAGATAAGGACCAAGGGAGACTACTATGGGAGGAAATTGTTAAGGCCACAAGGCACGATAATGTAGTAATTCTAGGAGACTTTAACTTTAGTCATATTGATTGGAATTTCTTGACTGGGAATTTAGAATCAAACGACTTCTTAGAAGTAGCTCAGGATTGTTTTTTGAAGCAGTTTGTGACAGAACCTACAAGAGGAAATAACTTGCTTGACTTAGTTCTGACAAACAATGAATCCCTTTTTATAATTTAGAAATTTCAGAGGAACTGGGTGGTAGCGACCACAAATCAATTACATTTAGCATTGAATGAAAGTATGATAGGGATAACTCAGTAACAGTTCCAGATTTTCGCTTAGCTGATTACAATGGGCTTAGAGAACACTTATCATCTGTGGACTGGAGTAACGAAGAGAGCTATCAGTATGACAGCTTTCTTAACACAACACATGCTGCCCAAAGGACATTTATCCCATATAAGGAAATTAGATCGAATAGAAATGACCCCGGATGGATAAACAATAGGCTCAAATATCTTTTAGGACAAAAGAAAGGAATTTATAGGCGTATCAAAAGAGGTGAGGGTCATCTTATGAATCAAT